CCTATACCTACTGTGTTAAAAGTGTTTTTTATTCCCACTACCTCAATTCCATTACTTTCCAATATACTGCAGTATCTGGCTTTGATAACTCTCTCTTCCAAAATCGGCAATGACTTCTTCTTGGCTACTTGACAACAGTGAAAATTTTCAAAGTAACTTAATCATCTAAATTAAATCTGCTTGATTTATTTATTTTTAAGGCCTTTTGTCTGTCTTCATCCTTCTTGATTTGTCTCCTGCTTTGTCAGTGTGTGAACCATTAGCACCTGAGTTCCTCCAAGATTTAAGAGTTTTCTTATTCTTATGTTACCTCAATGGTCTTCCAGTAGTTCCTGTGACACTTCCTTTGTCATTGTATTATACAATTTCTTCTTGTCTGTTGAGAGTTTAGCATATTCAGAGTGATATATAAATAATAATATTTGGGGCAACGAGCATTAATTTTAAAAAAAGGTAATATGTAATAGAAGAAAAGATACTGACTTTGGTCAGTAGAAGAAAAGATACAGGACTTTGAATACGACTACATGCAATGAGGTAAGATTACTAGTAAAATCCAAATTTACATGGCTGGAAAATAGTTTTAAGGACAGTTAAATCCATTTTAATTTTGATTATGTCTGCATACGGGTTCAACTGTCTTTAATGAATGCACTCTAAACGTCCCACTTAAGTTAGTTAATCATAACTTTCTGTAAGCATCCATAAGAAAGCATGCCTTCTGTGTAAATGCAAATAAGAAGGTATAGGAAGTCATTCTTACTTTAGGACAAGCAAGAACAGCTATACTGAGTTAGCGTAAAGCTCATAAAACCATACTGAACCAAAGTAGTGTAATAGCAGTAGCAGGTAATCAAGAAAGGAGTATAAGCAGCAGAGCACATACAGTGATTCTTCCTCTTCCGTAACTTCCCAACGTTCACTTCTTGTTGGGTTTTGAAGACTTGCGAACTTGAAGGTTTCAGGTTTCAGATATTGTATGTTATTGTATATGATGCATCTATTCGTGATGAATTTGTCAAATACCTTTTCAGACATTAATACTTCTGGTGTCCTCAGTATCCTTTGGGAATACTGTTCAAGTCTAAATAATGTGTTACATTTAGGAAAAAACACTTTTTGTTGTTTGTTAATAATTTCCTTGGTTTCATGAGTTCTTATGTTGCGTGAAATATCTAATAAATAAGAGTACATCTTCTCCATGATTTTGTAGACTGAAATAGATGAGAACCTATATGGACTGCTTTGTTTCTTTCTTTTTTTTTTTTTTTAAGAAAAAATCAAGCATTGTTGACATTTTTTGTATATAATGCATTTTGTCTTTTTTCATGTTATATACCTTCGTGAAGTTTGTTGTTAAAATATGTAAATCAAAGAGAATATGTAGTTTAATCATCATGTTATATATGCTATATTTACAAATAGTATGTCTTCCAACTTTCCACTTTATTTTTATAGCACTAATAATAATTGATCCTACATTCATGTGATCGTCAGTATATAATTTAACTTTTAGACTGTTGAAATGCTCTGAACTTTATTAAGTTCATTATGCTCTGAATTTAATAAGAAGTTGAGATATAGGAATTTCTGGTATGTTTACATGCATTAGTTAGCAATGTTTGGTGACGTGATTTGGTTGCCAATACATGGGTGTGTAGTACCTTTTGAGATAGCCTTTGGTGTCCCACCTGGCTTATTTATAGCTGCCGTTCTGGGTGCTGTAGTCCTCTGTCATACTTACCTGCCCCGTGCCGATGCTTTGGATAGCAAAGGGCATCTCCATTGGCACTAGATAATTATGTGTGAACAACTGAACCAAGGCCTTGATTTTTTGGGGGGGAGAGTGGGGGGACGCACAAGGGATTTCTGTGATCAGTAGTATTAAAGACATGAGTAATATAAATAAATATTACCTGAAAAGATCAAGATTGTCAGGAGTCTTCAGCAATAAATGCAGCTGTTGTTGCTTAATGGCATTTCACAACATCTGGTTACATGTTAGCATCAGTAATGAGTGTGGGGGAAGGATGGACGCAAAGTGCAGAGTTTTGGGCGGACTTGTCCTTACTTAATCCATATTTTAATGTCATGCTATATTATAGGAAATAATCTGGTGGGTGTATTTGCCCAAATAAGATTTCTGAGTCCACTGAAACCTGGAAATTCCAGCAGAATGCTGATTGTTGTTGGAGCCAGGGTTATATTATGATTTAATGGCTTTTCTGGGCTTCATTTGATGACCTGGCCTAGAAAAACATTTTGAAGTAATAAAGCGTCTGTTTGGCTCCAAACTAATGAGAGAAGCATTGCTCTTTGCATTAACTGTTCTTTAGGAAGAGCCGCAGAGAGCTACTAATAAACCTTATTAAAAAGCTTAAGCAAGATTGAAGGAAATAGAAAACAGAGAAACTATTCCATTCCATGTGAAGTGAGTACATAAAAAAAAAGGAGAAAGAAAAGCAAGCCCACGGGGTTTTTGCCTCCCCTCCATGTGACTTGCAGCTTGCTGCACTTCAGTTACATTGCCTCTGAGATATGTGAAAGTGCAGCTCAGTTTAATGACGAAGTGGATAGGACAAATCAAGGCTAGAGACTATTTACGGCGGAGACTGGGTAAGTAAATGCAGCTAAATGTAGATAAGTGTTTACTAATATTGTGCAAATGTTACAATATCTAGCCTGTAGCATTTAAAACAATGCTCAGAGCTATCATGTTTTGGTGGTCCTTTCTTTGTTTTACTTAAGTAATTTGCAAGTGTGGGTGGTACATACTATGCAATAGATTTATGCATAAGACTGATAAAGGATTTAATTTTATTTTTCAGACTTCCTACAACAAAACAAATAACTTTCTTTTAATTTCATGTACTTATTTTGTTTTAAATTCTTTGCTATGTAAGTAACTGCTTCGTCTATTTTAGTGCAGTGCTCAAAATAATATCAGTGGGAGTTAGCTGATAGTTTCTGGTGCCTTCCTGTTATTTTCATTATTTTTCTACTGGTGAGGGAGAGGGGAAAACAGCTTATACTCTGAACCTCCTAGATACAGCGTATTCAGATTTCTAGAATCCAACTCCAGACCACTGAAAAATCCCCAGCATCAACTTGTTCCAGGAATTCATTCAACCATCCTAGCAGGATATGATTTCAGCTGTTTGCTTTTCTTCTCTGTGTCTTTTTATAAAGATTCGTATGTGTTCTTATACTGAGTTTTATATAGAAAGTTCTTTTTAAAATTTATGTATGTTTAAATTTGTGTAAATTTAATACCAATATACATGATGAAAGCTTTTGTTGTTGTTTAATACTGCCAGGCTTTTGATTTTGATATGTTTTTGTCTCTAGCAATTGGAGTGGACCTTGCAGTTGCTATAATGCTGTTATGAAATAGGATTGCAATCTTAGTCAATTAGTAATTTCCAGAACGGTTGTTTTAGCAGTTTCAGTGCCTGCCATTTGAGTATTTCAATCTCAGTGCATAGACAAAGAGCTGAGAAGGAGGAATGATCAATATAGATTGTAAAGACCTATACCGAAGCCTGATTCGAATCTTGGGAACTGAAAAAGGAAAAGAAAACTCCTTCGTAGTGGTAGTAGTATTAAAGAAAATATTTTTAAGCATTTAATATCTCGTGATCTAGGGCATGTCTTCCTTTTGCATCATCTTGCAGGAAAGAGTACTTGAACTATTATAGCCTATCATGATTTTTACTATCTGGATTAATCAGAATGCGTTATCTTTTTCAGATAATCACTCCATTTAGGAGGCTAATATTGTGTGCTGAGAACAGAAAAGAAATGGAGGACTGGATAAGCTCTCTGAAGTCCGTTCAGTCCAGAGAACACTATGAGGTAAGTTGACATCCCTCTTGGTGCAACCTGTTCTAGCTCAACAGATCAAGCTACAGGACACAGAACGGGAGTATTCACCCTCCTTAGTGTGAAAAGTGTGTCTAATGTCAGAGTGAAGCTTCATGTTAAGACCTTTACTAGCGAAATGAGAGCTTATTATCACACTTTTGTTTAGAAGTTTGGAGGGAGAGCAGGCTAAATACCCTTTGGAAAATACTTTTGGTGAACATTGCATTGTCGTCCCCTGTAATATGGAACCGTAGGTAATTTCAGTCACCGTAGCTGTGTTCTGTACTTGCAAATTTGTCTTAACTTCTCCTTTACTAGACCGCACAGTTTAATGTGGAACATTTCTCAGGGATGCATAACTGGTACGCCTGCTCCCATGCCCGACCTACCTTCTGTAACGTGTGTAGAGAGAGCCTCTCTGGAGTCACTTCTCACGGCCTGTCTTGTGAAGGTAAAATAAACGCGTTCTTCCCCCTGTTTATAATGCTGCGTATGTAGACAGATGGCTGAAAGTTTCAGACGAGTAATGATTCTGAAAATAACGAGTCAGAAAAAAGCCTGAAGGAAGAAATCTATTCATTAGAGCGACTTTCTTCTGGGCAGAGGGACTGCTAATGATCTGGCTCGCCTTCTTCGTGCTCCAGGTGCCTTTTTCTAACTCATCTCAATAAAACGGTTCCTTCTGCTGCAGTGACCAGTTTGGAATGTGCTGTGTGGACGGTTTGCAAGAAAAGATAGGATTTATTTGATTTGCCCGTCAAAAATGTGAAACGAAATAGTCTTACTAGTTTGCAGAATCAGCATTCCTCAGGGAAAAAATCATAACGGTAGTTGCTGCCCAAAATCTATAAAAATTCTTAACACTTTTTTCAGCGCTACGGCCTCTTCCCCTCCAATTCTTGTTTGCTCTGTTGTTGCTGCCTGTAAGGAAATCTTACAGTACAGGCAGGACAGATGAGGACAGATTTATTGCTTTAAAAATTTCTCATGTAGTGAGGGAGTAGAGATGTAGACGCCTTTGCGTTTTGATGGTTCAATAGATGAAATCCAGCACAAACTAAAAGGAGGTGTGGCTAAGACTTCAGCATTAAGCTTATCTGGAGAAATGTATTTCGCAAACAAATATTTATAATAAACCTGAAACAGCTTATTTATTTTCTGCTGCAAGTTCTGTGAAAAAGTGGTAACAAGTCTGCTTGTGTTAGAATCCAGCAGAAAATAAAGCATCCGTGTGACCTTATGATATATATGAAATGCAGAGATATTTAATTACCAAAATAGCTAACTGTCCAGAAAAGAGTTACAGTTACACCATTCAAAACTTGATTTTTTGGATGCATGTTACTCAACTGCAAATGCATTTCTGTTATTGATGCTGCTATAATACTTGAGGTCTGAGCATAATAATGTGTATTAAGGAAATCTTACAAAGGAAACATTAACCCACTGTCCTAAATTGTCCATGCCTTTAATGTAGCTAATGGTGCAGTTGCCAAGGAACGAGACGAACCCATTTCATAGAAATTAGAAGTAGCATAGTTACTTCCAGCTTCTCTGGTGTATGTTTTCCACTGTATATAAGTCGTTTGGACAGTTTTAAGGCAATTATGGTATTTTCAATGTCTGATATTGGCAGATGGAAGTATCATGTGCTTAACTAAAATGCAGTTGTATTGCCTCTGTGTACAAATACCGTTATATTTGCTCAGGCAGAGGAAAGGAAAGACTTCTTTCCTTTCATAAAGAATTTATCCTTTCATAAGTTAATATTACGGCTATTTTAAAACACTGTCTAACAAGAATTATTCTGGTAAGATTATCAATGTTAATGGTTGTGGTTCATCATTTTCTGTTTTTTCAGTGTCTTATTTTGCTTCTACGTATGGTTTTAATTTCCAAGGTGTTAGCGTTAACTTTACATTAAGGAAGTTTCCTTAATTTCCAGATTTGGACTTTGTCACCTTTCTGCATAACTTATTACAAACTAATGCTACATTTATCCACATTTCTGATGCCAGTTGATCTTTCAGCAGTTTTTATGAGTCGCTCATGAAGGTAGTTTGGATTTGTTTTCACTGGTCCACAGTTTCATAAATGTGTATGACCTGGATTGGTTTATATGTAGATACTATGAAATTCTTTTATCTATTAATAAGTTTACCTCCTCTGACTTCTTAGATACTAGTTTACATCTATTTTCTTTATTTTTTTCCCAATTTTTTTTAAAAAGAAAAGGAGAACTTTCATTATGCATCTAATCTAAATCATTTGACAGTTGACTGTCTTACTGGAATACTCATACTTTGTCCCCGATTCTGTATACCTGTAAAACCACGTGTTAACCATCCTTAATTTCTTCATCTAAGAAGTGTATTTTGGTTTGATACTACTTCTTTCTCTGAAATTCTTATGTGACTGAGTTCATATTTACCTGCTTCTGCCATGTGCACTGCTAATGCACTTCACCATCTATTTTTTTTTTACTTACCCTGTGTTAGCAATATACATTGTTTGAGGAGATGATGTAGGAAGTATGGAGTCTTAAGATTCCCCAGACATGTTCTGTGCTACTTTTTCTCATTACATCTTTAAAACGTTTAAATATTCATGCCTGGTATCTGAAACCTCCAGCACTGCTTTACGCTGGGAATCCATTTATATCTATACTAAATTCAATTATCTGTGTGGTCATTGATCCCAGGCTACTCTATTATGTCTTGTATTGAGAAGCATGAGAGGTTCTTCTCAAGAGATATTGGAGCTCTTCCTCCTCTCAGTGGTTTGGGTTACTGGCACACCAAGTTATCTTGAAAATAGCTTAGAGTCTTTGTACTCTTTGTGGTCTGATTCTTGACTGTTAACTGTAGGTAAAATAAAAATAAATCCCATTGCTGATATTTTGCAGCTTACAATACTTTAGAAGGTCAGTCCTGTAATATTTAATTCTCTTAGAGCTGCTGGTCTCCAGCAGCGCTACACAACTGTTTTTTTCAGCCTGACCACACAACAAGCCTCAATTCTGTTGGAGATAAGATAGGTGCCTTCTTTTTTCAGGACACCTTCCCTCCCAGTAGCCTTTGGCAAAGGTTGACCAAATTAATTGCAGGCCACCCTGAAAATACTCCTGTAAGTTTTGTGGAAGCCAGTGTAGGAAAAGAGGGTATGTTAATACCTTTGCTAGGGAAAAGACTGTAGTGTGAACTTGCGTCTTTATAGAAGTCAAAGAATCGATATGTATATCAAACTGAAGATGTAAATTCATATCAAACCAGGCTTCATTCTTTCTACTGCTCAAAAAACAATTGACTTTTAAAAAATTTAATCATGCACTCCTTTGAGATGCGTGTCTTCTCAAAAGATAATCTACTTTTCAAATATTGTCTGTGTGTTGCGTTGCTCTAGCTAGCTCTAAAGGACTGATCTCCACAGCATTCATCCACCGAAACCCTGTTCTTCTTACCCACTGCACAGGATATTGTGCATGCACTATTTGGGTAGTCATTGTCTCCAGGATTTTTGCCACATTTTCTGCAGAGGCTGAAGAGTGAATAGTGAATGAAACGGTCAGGAAGAGAAGGGATGTTCATTGTTAAACAATTAAGGAGTAATAGAAAACCGTGTTCTGTGACTTTGTATCAATCACACTGTGCCCCTCTGTAATCCTGGGGAAATCACTTAAATAAGATTTTTGATCAAATCAGTAGTTGTGTGTTGTTTATAAACTGGGACCTGTATCACAGAAATGCTGAGTTTTCTATAACTGCAAAAATCAGTTGAAGCTCTTCTGAAGTCACTGATACTTTGAAGATATACAGTATTGGGAAAAAAGGTCTTAATTGTAGTAGTACTGAGCGTAGTAATAACAATAATAATAATTTTAAAAGGCCAGGAAGAAATGAATATTGGTGTCTAAAAAGCGGTATTTCATTAGCTTTTAGTAAATAAGGCAAATACCTATTGAAAATTATTATGAACCAATGTACGGCACAGCTGCATACTTATCACGAACCTTCCATTGCATGCAGTGAATGAGGGTCCTATTCTCAAAAAATGTATGATCATGTAACTGAAGACTTTACACCTGCATACAGAAGCTATATTGCAAAGCTATATTGCAAAGTTAAGTTGCACAAGTAACTTAACTTTGTAGTACTTGAGTTTGTAATATGACTATTCTTTTAACACTGTTTGTAATATTAAATTAACTTAGAGAGTTATTTATTGGGGTGAAAATAGTAAAACTACTGAGAAACTGCTGAATTTTATCCTTTGTAACATAGCTTCAAATTGGAGTGAAGTTAGCTTGCTGTTTTCACGTGAGTCACACTGTTTTCACTGTGGCTTGTCCATCCATCACGTGATAGTATTCTTGGAAACAAATCAGCAGGTTTCTTGAAATACCTGAAGACAAATCCTTCCATCTTGACAACTTAAACTATAGATTCCAGCTCAGGGATCTTCAGATCAGTTTCAAAACTTTGGCTTTGGCCTTTGAAGTTGGAAAAGAACAGTCTGAGCCAGTTCTTCTTTGAAGAACACAGAAGAGAAAACTCATGATAAAATAGGTGGTAGAGTGGTAAGTTTGGGGGTAAAAAAATTGAGTGTCCTGCCAATGTAGTTGAATTAATTGATGGGTGGTTAGAATGAAAGGCCTTTGAAACAGAAGTGTTGTACAACAAAGATGTATATTTTCAGAGCAAGAGATCCTATGATAACATTCAGTAATGTTGACTTTTCTTCGTTACAGATAATAATAGCTCTAGATTTAATCACTGTGTCTGACAGCAGATGTTGGTACCAGTGTGACAACTGTTTGCTCATTCAGTGGTTCTCTTGGTTGGCTTTCTGAGAGACCTGCTTCATATTCCAGCTAGAAACATTTACACAGGAAATTAAAATTTAAAATAATGTTCTACGAATATTCTAGATTTGGTTTGGCTAAATTTTTCCTTTTCTCGTTTTTTAACTTCCATTGGCGAAGTAATGGCCATTGATATCTAGCAGTATGTCTGCACGTTTCCAAAAGATTTCAGAGATCAGACTGATTCGTGAATGGGATGCAGTGTCATCTGAGACAAAAGAAATTAGGGGGTAGTGATAACTATATCTATAAACTATAACTAAATCTCAACACTAAGGTTGAGATTTGATTTAAAAGTTTCCTTGCTGTACCCGTCTCTTCTGTACTGCTATGTATTTTGCTCGAAAGTTACATCTGTGTCTTAAGGTCATTGTTTTTGGTAATGTTTAATGCTCAGAGTAACATGAATTATTGTTTGATGATATTGGGGTTGCAGGGGGTTGACCTACAGAAAGTCTGATCTGAGATTTGGTAAGTTATATACTGTACCCACAAAGCAAACATTAGCTGTCACTTGCCATCCATGGTGTGGCTTGCTGCAGCTCCTCAGATCCTGGGTTTGAATTTGTCCTTGCCTTGTTGAGAGAGCAGAGGTTAAACCTGAGATCTAGTTGAATTGTAGCTCAATAGGATTTGAAAATTCCCTTACTTTGTAATGCCTTCGTAATTTGGAATTTCCTATTGCCCCTCATCCCTGATTTGTTGTACTTTGATCTGTGTGGCAAAGACAAATGCATATCATTTATGAGTAGGAAGCTGAATTCAGTGGCATATCTTCTCCAAAACATTCAAGTGGCAAAACTGCTCAAGGCCCATCACTTGAAAATGCAGCCTTTATTTCTGTGCTTCTGTCAGAGCTGATTTCCTTAGATGCTTGGAACCAGCTTAGGTTGGCCAAACACACAATATGATGCTGAGCTGTTCTGAAAATGCGAGCCTACCCTGTTAGTTGAGGAATATGGGATATTTGCACCCTTTGAGTCTATGAATGCTGCTTTTCGAAATGACCAGGAGAGTTACTGTAAAAGCAACAAAATTCCTTTTTCTGTTTCCTTCTCTTTCTTTGAGCTAAGCATATACTTTCACACGTCTCCCAGAACAATGAGGCTTTCTCTCAAACTCAGATGTTGCCTACATAGTCTCAATTCACTTTTTAAATTGATCTGGCAATGGATCAGTAGAATTAAAATGAGAAATTTATGATTCACAAGACCTTTTGTACCATGGCTTAATGTTTTTTAATGGTGGACAAGTGATGGGCCAAAGCTTTTGATAGTTTCCTGTCAAATATTTGTTTGAAAAGAGACTACTACTTCTGGTCTGCTGGCTAGTTCTCATAAACCTTTAATGGTCTTTGCCAAAATAATTTATATAATGCACTCTAAATTGTATGATCTCATGCACTTCCAGTAACAGAAATACCCACAGTTGGGTGCGTCAGTCTGTTTGGTCTAATATGATATCATTAACTAGTCATATTAATTGAGTTGAACAAAATATAAATAGTTATTTAGATTGTCAAAATGTCTGCCTGTACTACACACTGGTGCTGAGTATTCCAATTAGTAAGATTTTTGATAAATGATCCATAAGAAGTCAGGCTCTTCCTCACTTAATGTAACCTCTTGGAAAATATTGTAACCACCAGTATCCTGAATAAATATATCACCACCTAACCCTTCACTTTCTCAGCTTCTGGGAAAACAGGCATAGTATGGTGCCCAAAAGGGATCCTTTAAGCAAAAAAACAGAGCTCCTGAAGGAAAATACTTCTGTGAAACACTCTCCCATCACCTTGTGCAAATTTAAACCAGGTATCTGAGTTGAGTCACTGGAGGAATAGAAAAGGCAAAAACACAGTTAAAGATATATTTGTACCTTAGTACCTTGCATTGTACCTGAAAAAATGGGGACCGATGTGGATTTCAGGGCACACTTAACATGGGCTACAGCTAAGCAGTTAAACTCAGTTTAGAGAGTTAAAGCTGGAGTGATTATGAACTGAATTTTCTTTTAGTTGGGTTGTGTCATGTGTGCAACACTAAGTGACGTGTACTTGGCTGTTTTATGGAATATCTGTAATTTTTTTAAAGATATGTATCACTGAAATACAGCAAATAACATAGTATACATGTTTATATGTGCCTTCCAGTGTGTAAGTTTAAAGCACATAAAAGATGTGCTGTGCGAGCAACAAATAACTGCAAATGGACTACATTAGCCTCAATTGGAAAAGACATCATTGAAGATGAAGATGGTGTAAGTACTATTCATATTTACAGTATTTTCCAAAGCTGTTTCTTCTTTATGGTGGGGGGGAAAAAAAAAAGGCTAAGCATAGAAATATTGCCATGTGACCCATTGAAGTTAATGGTAGGTGGCTATATTCCTGAACACTTTTCGAAGTTTAATGTGATATTTAGAACAAAAGTTATATTCTTATCTCACAAGACAAGTTTAGTATCTGTGGGCACTAGACTGCAGCCGTGTTACAAGATTTTAAAGGCCACATGCAGAGAAACTCTGAAGCTGGAGAATTGCTCCCAGAAGTTCCTACTGCTCTTAAGCAAAGGTGGTATTTTATACTGTTACCATGCTGCGGCAATCTATTTTGTGTCCTCCTTACCGATAGCTGTTCCCCAGGAGGCCTGTTTGGAATTCACTGATGTGTGTGTGGCTTTTTACTGACGAAAGCAGGAATTTTAAAATTAGCAGGAGAAATGACAAAAGCTTTTCAGAGGTTTGTTGTGATAGATGGGTTATTTTTAGAAACACAACTGTGTATGTGCCACTGGCGTGAAAATTCTTCTTAGAAGGTTAGTAGTAAGTTGCATACCTATGAGTGTCCTGAGTTGCCCATGGTATTAATGGGACAAAGAGTGCACTGAGTAAAGCTTTGCACTGCATTTAGGGACTGCTTTATGGAGCTGTGACTTACCAGCCATGGTGAGGGGGTACATAAATCCACAGAGGTTTTCTGCTGTCCTGCCTATTCTTCTGAATTTTAGTTATTTCAATTGGTTTGTGTCATGTAGTCAACATTAAGCGAATGTGTGCTTATTTGTATTACGGAGTCTCTAGATTTAACTGCCCCGTTGTTTTGTGGTTAGTACCACGAATAGTTGAATGAGATGTGTCTCCCTTCTTCAGCTGTCACGTTTTCTGCCTAGCGTGTGAAACACCACCGTAGTCCACATTCATAGCTGTTGCCTTGCAAGCATCAGTGTCACTTATCCTGGTGAGCCATACCTGCTTCTTTGATGAAAGGGTAGAGCTGCGGGAAATAGTTTAAATCCACCTACATATGAGAGACAAAAACCTCTAATTTCTGTTTCTGAGTATTTGACTTTTGTGACTACTTCTTCACAGATAGCTATGCCTCACCAGTGGTTAGAGGGTAATCTGCCCGTCAGTGCCAAATGCGCAGTCTGTGACAAGACTTGTGGCAGTGTTTTACGCCTGCAAGATTGGAAGTGCCTTTGGTGTAAAGCTATGGTAGGTGCAATGAACCACGTCCAAGTGTCTAGGATTTTGCCAGCTTTATTGCTTGCCACTATTTTTATTTTGTCATTTCATAACCGTGCTTTTGGATTAAGTAGGAGCAGGCAGCTTTTGCAAACTCAGGTCTCTCTAACATTCATAATTTCTCATGTCTGTCCTACTTGCTTCAGATAATTTTTAATACGCCCACAGACGCAGCTTTTCTTTAATAGGTGTTGTCATCCAGGGCGTTTTCTCTGCCTTCTCCTAACTGATAACTGAAGGTTCAAATGCCTGTTCTGTATGCCTCATAATCATATGTTATTCTTGTCTTTTTATTGTAGATATTGCTGTAACAATATTTTAGTAATATTAGTAATATTAATATTTATTAATATTTATTAATATTTACTAATATTAATGTAGTAATATTTTTATTACTGCAAAATCTTGACGTTCTCTTCTTCGGGACACTCTGTAGGTTGCTGATTGAACATGCTATTGCTGTTTCCCCAAAATATAGTTTTCTCTTAATTTTTTTAACTTGTCTAAAAAGATGGGTTTCATATGCTAGGGTACAGAAGTGGAAAGTCAGCAGTTTTTTTATTGTTGAAGCTTTCGGCATATAGATGTCTGAGGCTCTGCGTGTAGGCAGTGGGAAATGATTGCCATCTCCAGAGGTGATTTGAAATTTAGGTGAGGTGCAGCACCCTCTGCATGTGCCTGTTTTTCCAATAACTATGGAAGAGACCTCTGCAACGCATCGTTTATGGGACCCACCTTTGGCAGGTTGGTCTGCCTTGGTAGGTGTGCTAGCGTTAGTGCAGATAATGTCTTCCAGAACAGCCAGGTGGACCAGGCATGTACAGAGCTATTGCTTTGCATGTGCACAGTGTGCCTGCTGCCCCCAGCACAGATGCTGGCTGCTGGAAACTTGGTCCTCCCTTGCTCGTGGATGGAGGTAAGCGATTCCCTTGAAAGGACAATTCATATCTGCTATAGGGGTAGCTGAAGATGAAGTACTCCAAACTTATGTGTTGTGGAATGAGTAACAAGCCTTTGTGGCTGAACACTCGTACGTTTTTTTTCCAGTCTCGCTCCTCTTCCCTCTACACCTAAATGTTATACGTTAGCCCATTTTTGTTACACAGATACTGTATCGGTTA